AATGTCAGGCTCCGTTCAATACATTAGGTAATGTAAATCTTTGCATCTAAACTTCATACATCAAAATATAAATGTTAAGTTTCCGAAGAACCATAGAATGATGTAAAAATGTACGCTGGAAGCCATGCTCTCCCTTTTAAGTTCTGCGCTAGTACTCTCAGAAAAAAAGTCGGAGGAGGTCAGACGGGCTGGACAAAGACAAGGTTAGAGGAGAACACGTGCTTCCCCTTCTGTGTGACCCCCCCCCCCACGCTGCACCTATTGCCACAAGCTCGCAGGGTGAAAGCTGGGAGATAGAAGAAAGGCAGAGGACGACCTGCACGTGGATCCCAGTCTCTCATTCTGTCCCTTTGCTCCCGCTTCCTAGTCCACATCGCAATCGCAGCGCTGTGGTGTTTGGTATAGGCCCTTCCATGGACAAGGTCCAACTCTGCCTGGACCCACAGATGCTGCCCGGAACATCTGAGAGTCCTTGATTAAAGAGTTATTACAGCTATCCCTCCTTCTCAACTCACACACCCTTAAGATGATCTTTAAGAAAAGATGCCCTCAAACAGCCCTTTAAAAAGGAGCTATTTGCTTCATAATTGGGCCATCAAAAGCCCATACCTTGTTGGTATTCATTCATTCTTTGTATTTGACCATTCATTCTTTGTATTTGTGCTTCAATTGGATTTTTGATAGGCAATTTTTCTAAAATAATATGAAATATCCTTGACTGCTGTTTCAGGTGAAAAGAGGATGTTCTACATTGAGTCAAATTTTGTATTCAATGTCTGAAATACCTGACAGGTATTGTGCCCTGCTAAGAATGATGATAAGGCTGAAAGCCTGGAGGCTTCATTGTAGACAGTGGATTTGTCATTTCATTTGCTTGTTTTTACTTTTGAGGCTTTATTAGAAACGTGTTCAAAAAGCAGGAGATTCTGAGGTTACTCACTACCCAAGGCCCCCCAAAAGTGCCCCTGTCACTGAAATAGTAAAATTAAATAGGTACAGAAAAGAAAGAAGAAAAAATAAGAAATCAGACGAGTTTTACAGAACTGCTTCGTAGCGTGCTGGTTACCAGGGTCCAACCTCCCTTAAGCAGTGGCCAGCTCTAAAGATGAAAAGTAGAATCGTGAGACAGATACTTCAGTGAAGTTGAATAAATCTGTTTTGTCTCTCTACTGTCTCTTGGAATATCGATAATACTGGACGGCAGGAAGTAGCCACATATTGGTGAATGGAACAGTAAGAAAAGAATATTGATGATTGCAAAAAATCGTGACTTGAAAGTGGCTGCAACAGTACAAATATGATTTTAGTATGATGTGACTTGCAAGCACTTGATACAGAGGGGATAAAATACGGGTTTTCTTCATTCTGCACTATACATGCCACTAAGATCAATGGAAGTCACATACATATACCAAGGAAACTATATGTAGAACTATTTATGGAATAGCCGCTTCACATACACATCAATTGCAGCATCATAATGGCATAATCAGAAGACAAAATCATATATTATATATTGCAAGTGATAAAGCTTGAATTCCTATCATCATTCCACCCCACTTTTCATAAGCTAAAGGGACAACTAATGGAAGGATCTTTGCACAGCTTTTTTTTTTTTTTTAAAGAAGCGATAAACATCATATAGTTTATCACTACAAGACACCAATTCCACTTACAAACTAAGTCATTAAATAACAGCTACCAGCAGTATTTTCCAAAACAGCGTTGTGCAATGTACATCAAAGCAAACAAACTGAGACATCTGAAATTGCCTATGGTTTAGTCAAAATTCTAGGGACATTAGAGAAGCTGAAAAGCAGCAAGCATGCAGAAGTCCAGCATCTCCATACTTCAGGTGGCAAGAAAGCAGGAACCCATAAGCCGTGCTTCCTTTTTACAACAGCCACCAAAGCTGCATCAGCACTGTCAGGAAAAGAAAATGCTTTACAACTACCCAGGCACCTTTATAATTTTCATATCTCAAAATTACGGTATTTCCAATAAAGGCTGCCTTTGGATCACCATCTACTTTTACAACTCACTTTGTTTCACAGTATTCTCTATCTTCTACTGTTAACTCTTGAAAGAAGACTTTCAAAGATCAATCCAGTCTGTTAGGATTCTGGATGTTAAAATTGATTTTTTTCTTGTCTTCTTGTTCTTTTGAAAGGCTTAAAAGTGATTTGAGGCAATCAGCATAAAGGGATTTGATTGACAGAGTTTAACTAAGTCATCTAGAGAAGATTCATCGGGGGAAATTGCTAAAATTATAAATTAAACGGCAAACAGTTTTTCTCTGCTCTTAAAACAAAATAGGTTCTTTTAGATGTGAAAATCATTCTAAAAGCTTCTACAACTAGTCAATGAAAAGCTTAGAGATACACAGCATAATCTTTCAAACAACACACTGCAATAGTTATCAAATCAAAAGGAAGGATAAAAGGGCAAGCGTCACAACAACTACCAAACAAGTCTGTTGACCTCATGCACACAAACCTCAAAAATGTAGCTGCCAAACTTCCCTCAGGAAAAATGCAGGAGATGTAGTTGAGACACTGTTATATCTCTTTCTCTGGAAATTATGGCTTCCCTCACCCCCCGCCCCAGCTTCTGCCTGGCTGTTCTCTCTTTCCCAGTGTGCTCTCTCAAATTGCCTTTCTCTGCAATTTACCTTTCTCCACAATTCACCTTTCTCCATCTGCCTACGAGAAGAGAGCCCAGCTGGAGGGTCTTTGCCACACCATCTAGTCAGTGGTGGAGAGGGAGGAAAGCCAGCACTGCTCCATAAGCAGCTCCAGCAACAGATGGGCAGTGGGGAGGGAGAAACAGTCCCTGCTGAATGTCTGTAGCACCAAAGATACCAAAAAAAGCATCCAGAGACAGCTCTTAAAACTGTCTGACCAACTCTCGATGGGAGTACCATAGAGTTAAGTACTATGTGTCCCCATTTGACATTTCTATTCTTCTGCTCTGAATTTTTTGGGCTTTCATTCAGCAGCTCATGAGGAGAAAAAAAAAAAAAAAGTTGGCTGCTCTTTCTTTTTAACCTCCAGTTGTGTGAACAGTGTTACACAGATAGCTACTAGCACAGGTAATGGATCTATATATCATCCCAATGGTTATTTTGTATGATACTGCCACTACTTGCAACTAAGTCTTGCTTTAAGTCCCAGACAATCCTAACACCCAAGTCAAAATTATTACCTTCCATCCAACATAGCATCTACTTCAGTTCAAGGCTGTTTCAAATTCATTTACAGAATAAAGCTTTTATCTGTTTAAAATTACACCAAAACTAGAGAATTAACTTTTTTGTGATGATACTTCAACCTCATATACCCATCTGCGCATGTATTTTTTAAGTTTTATCCAGATTTTCTGGGCTTTTCACCATTCTTTTGTGACTCCAATTTATCGTTATCTGCAAATATAACTAACGCGTTAATCTTCTGAGCTTTCAGATCAGTCATGTGATGTAAAAGCACTCAAAGTCGCTTACATTTTAGTCTACAAAAATCTACTACACTTTTGTACTAACAAGCTAGTTTGTATAAAAATCAGGGCTTTTTTTTTTTTTTAAATCAGGTTTATATCTGTGAAACTTTTCCAATCCACTACTCAATGATTAGTTTGGTTGTATCTGGTAATTTACTGTAGCTTACACACTTTTGTATTTATTGGAGACATAAAAGGAAAAAAAAAACATTTGAAATGCCAACACAAATGAAATTTAACATACAAAACTCAGAAATTTTTCATTAATGATAAAATATGTAGTTATGAAAGACTGCATGCAAGTCATTCACTCACTGAAATACTGCAGAGACTAAGGGATTTATGCAAGCTAATGATACATACAAAATGATACACCTCAGTCTAATACATCACACTACACTAGCACCTTGCAAACCAACTCTACATCTAAGCCATCTCAGTCCTCTGCTCATTCGCTCTTCATAAACTTTACCTTTTTTTCTTTAGAATATCTATCTTTGCCAAAAGACTGAAGGACTCTACATGTGTAAACCTACAGTATTAATCTAGACATTAAACACCTAATCTGACAATACTAAATGTTGAGGCCAAGAATTATTATTTACAGACTTTAAACACGATCATTTACTTAGTATGATCTTTGCAAATCCAACATACAAACAATTTGTGTTTCACATAAGTGCAAGATATGATTCAGTTACTTCTTTGCAGGCTGACCAGAATATTTTCTATTAGGTTTGCAGTGACCTTTGTTTTATATTATTTGAATATTATGGATACATTTTTTAAACTCTTATAGAAAACACAATGCAGTACTCATTAAAGCCAATGATGAAAGTTTCTTTAGAGAATATAGCATGTGGATTAATTTTATGATCAAAGCTCATTTGCTCAGTGGGTTTTTTTATTCATCAACAATTCAGATAATCAGAAATCTTTACATCTTTTAATTACACATCCCTGATAACATCAGCCTCAATTTCTGCATAGTTGTAATTTCGAATAAAACATTTATTATTTTTTTAAGCACAGTATTTGATCAGACGTTAGTGGCAACCACCATTAGTCCAAAGCTACTTGGGTGTTTCTTTCACTTTTAATAACATGAGCTAGTAAGAATTGCTATCTGTAACAAATGCTTATTCTGGTTTCACAGTATTTGTCTAAATTTTATACAGATGATTTAATGAATGTGTAAACATTTAAAAAAAATTCTTGAAACAGAGAATAACTTCTTTTTTTTAATACGTCATAGAATGTTGTTAAAATTTTAAGCCTTATGAAAGCCTAAGAGATTGTTAAAATAATTGCTATTTACCTTGGTCAAATTCTACAGTTAATAAAGTGACACAAGGTTTCACATACCTATCTCCGAAACCGCTAATTAGTGATAAAACACACAGCTGCAAAGATCTTGCACGCAGAAGTGACTTACCAGCTGGCATGCCGCTGGTCAGCTCTCTGCTAAGTCAGGACTGGGGCCGATCGCACATTTGCCATCGGCTTTAGACCACTCTGTACCGCAGTGCCTGGCTTAGCTCCAAACGCAAGGGACATGCAAAAATTTCCACATACCTTCTCATGCAATCCAGCGCCCGAATGAAGAAGTCTTTGTGAAGCTGATGCTCATCCCTCAAGATGGAGCACTGCTCCAATGTCACTGACATGGATGTCCGGTCTTTGGCACTTTTGCAACAGGTGAAACGGACTCCGTTCAGCTTGCGGCAAATCTGAAACACAGGCAAGCGTCAAAGGATTGCCCTTTCCCCCCTCCTTGTGTTCCCTGTACGCTAGGTAGACTGTGAAACTCCCACAATTTTGCGATCACAGACAATTAATACAGAGAACTACAACATTTCTCAGCAAGAAGATAGCTGTTCAAAGGTAGTAACTCAACCTGAATCATATGGCTGCTGACGTGTGTCTTTGCAGTTAAACCAGTTATTAACGCTGCCTTCGGGATTTTCATATTCTAATGATTATGCCCACGCTGGCCTGACGCAGTACCACAAAAGGTGAAAATGTGCCGAAAAGAACTGTAAATGTATCTTTGTTTATAAATTTGCAGCATTAACACTACAAAAATAGCACCAAAAGATTACAGCTACTGACCTATAGCCCATTTCCAATTTTTCCAAATGACACATTTTAAAAGCAGATCTTCAAGGTTTTCATTAGCAGGACGAGCCTACACATAATCTGCCCCCCCCGAGGAAAAAGAAGCCCTCACCGATCTTAGAAGAGAGACGCACACAATCTTGTGCTGCAGTTGCAATCAAGTCTCTCTCCTGCCCACCCCAACACCACCACCCATCCCACGTGAAGCGAGATACAGATGGTGGACCCCCCCGCCCAAGTATCTACTATTCTTAGTCCCAAGCATTTAAGCAAGTCGCTAAAACGTCTACACATACACATTACCAAATCATCGCACCTAATTTGCTGAACTTGAAATAAAAAATATTTGTGTTAGCTTAGACTATAAAAGTTGCTTCATTTTTTCCTCACTTTCTGTGACAAGCATCCTTATTCAATTAAAGCTTAATTGTCTGAACACCTATTGAATGTTGAGAAAATGAAGAAAAGCTTTGACAAGTCTTAACTCAGACTCATGAACATAGAGGACTAATGTCTCATGAGGGTATGGATTCGGACACATCTGAATTTAAATGTATTCAGTGTGTGACCCAGAAAGCTTAACACAAGGGACTGCCATGGTGTGTCTACTTTCACTGTACATTTTGTGTAAAATTATAAGGGATAAGGGAAACATGACCTATTTTGAAGGCTAATTTCTCACCTTAAGAATCAATCTGTGGTTGCACGAGCCCATTATTTTATACTTTGGGTTCAAACAATATTTTACTAGGAAAAGAAAAATTTGAAGGAGTGCTGGCGTGCCCAAGTGTAGGTCTACCTTTCCCCTGATATAATTTGTCCTAAGAAAAGGTAATTTGCTTTGCTTGCTCCTACCCTTGGACAATCATAGCTATAACAGCATCAAAAAAGGAAATAGTTATGAGAATAGGGCAAGGCAATAAATTACGGCAGTTAGGCCTCATCCTAAGGAACTTCTCAGCTTGGCTAACAAGCGTTTACTTTGGATCTTGCAGGATGAAACTGGAACGTGATCTTCATAATCTCACTTCAGCAAATAAGCACTTTTTATCAGTTAATTGCATTCTCAGAAATTCTATTAAAATCAATGGCCCAGCCAATACTTACAGATATCAAAAGTTGTATCCAGGAAATTAATTAATTGAATCTAAGTTTGAACCCAAAGAACTACAGGCTAGTAAAGGAGAACCTGTGAGTGTTTCTTCCCACTCATAATTCAAAATTTTAAAACTTAAATGTGTTTAAAAATTTGGAAAGTTGCACTGGGATTTAAATAAAGTACTATAAGACAATTTTTTTAAAGAAAGTATCAATCAGGGTTGATAACGTTGTGAAAGAAGATAACTGCTTAATTGAAGAGATTAATTCTCTTTACACAAGTCTCTTTTGGAGTTCATGAGTCATTGTGACTATTCAAAGTGAATGAGTCATAAGAAAAAAACAGGTAATTACTTTGGATGAGCGATGGCTTCTGATGTGGGGTGGGGAGACTATGTCCCAAATCTGGGCTGACAGCATACATATAAAGTGCTGGCTCGTGAGAGTCAGTTTTGAACTGAGAAGCATTCCAGGCACAAGAAGCAAATGACCATAACCAGAAGCTTATTTTGCACTGAAGTACAGTACAAATGTCTCAATCATCTTAAAATGGATTAAATAGAAAACAATCCGTTAACTTAAATAAGCAAATTAAAGCAAATTAAAAAATCATTAGATTCTGATTTAAGGAGAAATGTAGATTAACCTGACAGGCTGGCCCAGATGAATCCTCAGAATGACTCAGTTCACTAAGCAGCAGCAGTTAAACAAAGTAAAAAATTAAACTGAGCAAACCCAATGATTTGATATTCTAATAAGAGACAATACCAAATATATGGTAATAACCATCATATCAGAACACACATCTTACGATTAGTGTCCAGCCTAAATTTTATCCTCAACTTCGCTCACTTCTTCCCCAGATATATTGAAGATATAGGAGAAGAAATAGACTTAAAATTTATTAGAGCTTTAAAAAGTCTCCTTTACAAACAGAGATCTAAATGGATAGGATTGTGATTAAACTTAAAGAAGGGATGATGAAAGTATATAAAACCATGAAGACTAAGCCAAAGATAAATCAATACTCTTATTATTTCTCCTGATATAAAACAGAAGATTAAGGGTGCATCTTAGGAAATAAAAACATAGAACATTTAAATCTCTGTGCCATTATATTTAGAATAAGAAATGTTTGTGATGCCAATTTGTAAAAGTTGACTTTTAAAATGCAGAAGTAGTCTCACAGTCCCATTACAACAGGGATTACATGCAGGGGCAGATACATATGCATATCCATGTAGAATCTCATATATCTACAGCAACAACAAAGTGATATCCTTACAGCAGGGAATCATCCCTTATAACATACTATAACAGTGTGTAGATCAGTGGTTCCAGAAATACTCTTTTCAGAAGGTTACAGTACAGTAAGGTAAAGAGAAACAGAATACAGTGAAGGAAAAATCTGAAATGGTTTGTATGTCCAAAGAATGCTTTTTACCCATGAAATTATTGTCAGTGAATTCTGAATAGAAGGTAGAAGACAACTGAAGGCAGAAGACAACTTCTACCTTCTATTGTCTATAGACAACTTTCTATATCCAAAGATTAAGTAAATTCTATCATACTCTTTGTAGCTCTTTTTACACTATCCTGTACTGATTTATCTTTTGCTTCTTTAGAAAGCAATGTTTCATAGTAATTGCAGAATTGGTACTGCAAGAAAAGCTTATATTTTTACTCACAACAGATTTATACTGTAATAGCATGTGATAATATTTATTAACCACAAGGCAAAATATTATTAGCAATATAAAAAAATCACAGCAGTTTTATTAATACAAAGACATAGTTAATATTGTCTTGTTTCTGATGTTAATGAAAAGTCGTGGAAATCTTACTAAGATTTTGTATTAAATATTTACTTGCCTTGAAGGGTATACGCATTTGAAACAAGGTTTTGCTTCAATTCCAGTAGATAGCAAAGACTCGAGTCTCTGCTTGTATAAATGGGCAGAGACACCAAGGTTGCTTTTCTAAATCAAAGACAATTACCTGGTTGAATGCCACATTCCTGAAAAGCTTGAGCTCTTTATAAACATCTAAGGGTTGGTTTGTTGTTGGGTATTTTTGGTGTGTTTTTTTTTTTTTTAACACATATGTGCAAAAACCACAGAATTGGGAAACAAAAAGGAATTATGTGAATAAAGCAAAGTAAGGATTATTCATCATTTGATAAAGATTTTTCTTTGTGTTTTCCTTGTGTCTGAACATCTGCCCTGTGCATATCTAGCTTATTTTGTGTTGCTACCAGTGCCTTTAGAGTTGCTGTCATGGTGACATTGGCTAAAAAAACCCAAACATAAAATGTGATTGATTAAACATTGTACTGATACAATTAAACACTTATTTATAAAATATAAGTACCTTAATTGCAAAAAATCAGAAGTTGAATGCAGCAGTATTAAACAAAAGCCAGAGTAAGTAATCATGTCCTGTATCATATCTCAAGGCTTATGGACACTAAGCAATAAAAGGAAGATATTTTGAATAACCAAATTTTACATTATCAAAGAATGGACATGATGTAAAAAAAAAAAGTTACATACTGTAGCTGAATACTGTATTGTCTCTCTTATACGAGGTGACACATTTACAGCTATGTGTGATCATCCAAGGAATTGATTCTGCCCATACTGGGCATGAAGGGATTCCTCTGCCTAAAACCTGACTCAGACAGCTAAAAAACCCCACAATCCCCAAACAAGGAGCAAAACTCTTTTACCCTGTTGCACAAGTCACTGAGATAAATGAAAAATCCTGCATCTGGACTGCCTGGCTAGGAGAAGCTCTGCAGAAAAGGGCCTGGAGTATGTAGGGGACAACAAAGTGACCAAGACCATCTCTTATTTCTCGCTTTGAATTCTAGACAGTTTTACCAGTTAAGAAAGTGAGAAAAAGAAAATATCTGTAATTTAAGTGTAAGAAGAAGAGATATATTAACAAGTGGGATGAGAGACCATCAGAATGGAAATGTTAGAGAGCCATTTCAGCATATCTATCTACTTTAATCATTGAGTTTTCCAATCATATCCTTAAGATCCATTGCACCTGGAGTATCAGCAGGCATGTGAAAATGAGTTCATCATGCGAATGTATTTGAAACAAGAGAGCTTACCGTCGCAGCTAGCCACATGATTTCTACATTCTTTCTCTTTTTGGCCTGGATATTTTGATGGAGATTTTCTAGCAATCCCTTTAGATCATTTTGTTCTTGAAAATGTGGTAGACCTGGAAAAAAAAGGATGATAAGCTTGCTCATTATGATAAGGCTGGTGATAAGGTTGTGCTGACTAAAGAATGCCCATATTAAAGAACAGGGCTATTACACAGGATGGAAATCACCAGCTAAATATTTACAGAATAAACAAACCTTAGAAATTCTTTCTAAGCATTGGTTTGTCCTCCCTAAGATCTTCACTATGGAAAATTAAAATATCTTCAACTTTTGTCTTACAAATGAATGGTGAAAACATTCAAATCTCTGCTGTTGTTCCGTTCATCAACTATTATAGACATTCAGTGGCAATGAGTAGAGAAATAACCGAGTATATAAAAACCTGCTTTGATAGGATGATTTTTTAATTTTTAATTCAAAATATTTTGCTTTTGTTTTCAGAATGAAACATCTCATTTTTGTTTTAAAATGATGCTTTAGTTCCTAATATAACAGAAAGGTTAAACAGCACTAAATCCCTCACACCCTCAAATCTAACAAAGGATATTTCTCAGTCTGAAATTAAATGAAACCTTAATTTTGAAATGCAACATAATTTTAGGTTTACTGAAAATCCAAAATTTTACCTACTTGCCCTAGGTACAGCAGCTGTGCTGAAGTTTTATTAATTATAAATGTCTAGAGGGAATTCAAGAGTAGGCGATTTAACTTGCTCTTCTGTTTTGTGTGTGTATATATATAGGAGGGTTTTGTTCTGATATTACCTTTATCTTCATTAGTTTTGAAAATCAGCAGAAACAACCAAAATCTGGTTTTCAAAATTATTTCTTCTTATGGTAGTGAAGTAAAAAGAAATTTAGTAACAGTTTAATTTTAAATTAAAATTGAGTTAATTAAATGAATTAAAAATTTAAGTTTTAAAAATTTAATAATCGCCAAGGAAAGGCTCAGAACAGTTGAAACAAAATTAAACCAAATTGATACATTTTTTTAAACAAGAAAAAGTAGGATGTTACATGCATTGGGGAAAAATAACCAACCCAAGCCTCAAACCCCAAAATAAGATTTATATTCAATTCAAAGAGTAAAAATGAGGCAACTACTAATGCAGGTCAAAATCCATTCACCTAACCTGATCACAGCTGGAATGATCCCTCTTATCAACAGGCTTTTACCTTTTATGTGTAATGAATTCTGTAGTTTCACTTATCCATGATTCATGGTAAGATGTAATTTAAATGTACTCAGAAACACCTGTTCTAAAAATGTCTCAGTTGCCTTACTCACGCTGTGCTGCCAAAAAGAAAAAAGTGCAGAAAAAGTACACTGAAACTAGTTTTGTAACAATCTTAATGAGGATCATTTTATCTGTGTATTACAATTCCTGATCGTACAATTAGATAATGCAGAGCACATAAAAATATATCACAACCTGCTAGACTACTATACTTATCCTGCATCTGTTTCTTTAAAACACATAGCATACAATGAGTACGCTAAGAAGATGCTTCTGGATTATGAGAATGTATCACTAGGTAAACGTTTTATTGCTTCAAAGCAGTTTTCCTTTGGTTCACAGCAGAAAATGCATCATCTCAGACAGCTGACATCACCATAGGTAAAGTAAGATTCTCCTAATTTATAATATTGCCAAATGAGCTGCATCTTGACTGGACATGATCGATTGCTTAAATTCCCTGTGTCACAAAGCAGTATTAAACGGTCAAATCATTCTCATAGATTATAAGGGGGAGACGCCTGGAAGTACAAAACTGACTTATAGACTTTATGTTGAAAATGCACGTACTGCTACATGCATTATGATGCTATGGAAGAAAACCTTTATTTGCCTGCAAGATTTCTAAACCTTGCATGCATCCCTCTTCTCACACGGAACAATTCTTTGCAACACTGATGTTGCTGTGGGCATTAGGTATCGGACCAGCCACACTGAATATCACTTGTGACATACATTTCTCTGATTTTATGCTTTCAGCTATTTAAATTGAGTTCTAAGCTGTTCTTTTCAATTAATTACGAACTACTAAACAACAATCATATATTTTTGTACCCTTCCTATCACTAGCTGTTCTGTAAAAGTGGTACTATTTTGGTGCCTAAACCAGAACTACATTTGGTTGGCATTTTTGGTAGGAATCTTTCTGGGAGCACATTGTTATTTATTGTTGTCAAGAGTTTCCTATTAGGGAATTAAAGAGATTAAGAAACATGAGAATGACAGAGTGCATATTCATCTAAAAGAAGATCGAAAGTCAGTGTTTGGCATATGCAGTTACATGCAGCTGAAGACTTTTAATAACTGGGAAGAGAGAGAAAGCTAGAATATTATTGCAATGGGAATTACAGAGATGAGAGAAAAACTAATAGCAAAGGTGGCAATACCTCTATGGGAGTGGGAAATTGAATCCTTTGAAATGGAATATACGAATGAAGCAGCAGACAAGTGAGGCTGCCTAAGGATGGTGGCTGCAACAGCCTGGCCAACAGGGCTGCGAGTCCTCAAATTCTGTCTGGCTTTATGAGCACAATTTGTAACTAACAGCTTTGTGAACTGGGTCCTGCATTTATTTTGTAGCACAGATTTGGCACTACTGGAAACTATCTGGAAAGGTGTGACAAAATCGTCAAGGAGCCATCAATACTTAACAGCTCTCACTTGGCTACACCACCACGGTGGCTGCCAGCTTGGATGGAAGGTTTATCTTCCTAAGAACTTGAGCAGAGAGGTGGGGGAAGAGTCTGAACAACTTGGAGAGCTTCACTTTTTTCCAGGGCAGTGGTTTAAAAGGCACATTCCTCAAAGCCAAAAAGAGTGATTCCGTATAATTGCGGGGAGCTACTGGGAAGGATGATGGGACCAGAAGGTACTTTGTGTTCCGTAAAAGTTTGGACAAAGAACACACTTAGATCTTAGACATAGAGAAAAAGCAAGAAGGTAATAATAACCAGAAAAGACATGATGAATTAGACAAGTGTAGTTCTCAAAAGCCTGCACAGTCTGGCAGAAGTCCAGGAAAAGTGTGTGGCTCAGTAACGATCCTTCTGCAGGAAGTCAGTACAAGGTTAGTTTCTGTTAATGAAAAGCAGCCAATACTACCTGCATGAAAATTTTTGCTTTTATATAATGTCCTGGTTTCAGCTGGGATAGAGTTAATTTTCTTCATAGAAGCTATTGTGAGGCTGTGTTTTGGATTTGGGATGAGAAAATGTTGATAACGTACTGATGTTGTCAGTTGTTGCTAAGAGGTTGGCAGTTGTGGCTAAGCAGTCAAGGCCTGTCCGGCTTTTCATGCTGGCCGGCCAGCGAGCAGGCTGGGGGTACACAGGGAGCTGGGAGGGGACATGGCCAGGACAGCTGACCCCAGCTGGCCAAAAGAGTATTCCATACCATACGACATCATGCTCAGTATTTAAAGCTGGGGCAAAGAAGAAGGAAGGGGTGGAGGGACGTTCGGAGTGATGGCGTCTGTCTTCCCAAGAAACCGTTAAGCGTGATGCAGCCTTGCTTCCCCGGGGATGGCTGAACACCTGCCTGCCCATGGGAAGTGATGAATGAATTCCCTGTTTAGCTCTGCTTGCATGCGTGGCTTTTGCTTTACCTCTTAAACTGCCTTTATCTCAAACCATCAGTTTCCCCACTTTTACTCTTCTGATTCTCTCCCCCATCGCACTGTGGGGGAGTGAGCGAGCGGCTGCGGGGGGCTCAGCTGCCGCCTGGGGCTAAACCACGACATATAGTAAGATCCATTTATGAGGCAGCAGATCTACCTTAGACCTAATCCCAAATGAGGTTAGTTTTTCAGGATGCTTTCTTGGCAGGATTCCCCTAAATTAATTACTAACTTCTTGTATGATTTTCTCTGTAGAAATCCTAGAAATCCTAGAGATGTGGGTGGATGGATGAGCATACTGCCCGTCCTTTAGGAACAGAGCTTTCACTTCTGTCAAAATTATTACCAAATGAAAATCATCCTCATCTAGAAAATAAGCATGTATATACAGTGACACATTAGACATAACTACAAGTACATACATGTAATGGATAATTTGCAAAAGTAATCAGCACAAAGTGTACTGTAAGGGAACAGAGGCTTTGCACGGGATTTTAACCGTCAGTATTCACCATGAGGAGTTACACGTAAGTCCTGTAGGATGATAGATGTTTAGATTCAAAAGATTCGTCCCCCCCACCAGGGGAAGGAGCAGAGATCTAAATCCAAGCTATTTAAAATCAGGCTGTAAGATCTGCAACATTTGGGAATATAGTTTAGGCATTAAGACAACAGGATTAGATTGATACAAATGGTCTTTTCAGTGTTTGCTTTCAACAATCAAAGTAATGTTTATGAAACCAAATTTCTATAAAATTGGTATATAAGGCCTATTCTAATGGAATCATGCTATTAATATCACTGACAGTATGATGTGGCTCATTGCTTGTATTTGCACCTGCAGATTTCTCAGTGGTTTGCCTTACCTTAATACATACTTAAAATAGTAATGGAGGGAATGACTGAAACTGATGAAAATTCTCACTGAGTATTTCTGTACAAATATAGTAGGTACAGACTGTCCTCTACTTGAAATACTAAAAAGCATATTACCTTAATAATCTAAAAGACTGTTTAGTTCATCATTATTCTGTTTCACTCTCTCTGTAGTTTCTGCTATGCCTTGGGCCTGCAATCACTACTGATTTCAGCAGGGCTGTGTACAGGCACGAAGTGTTTAACTTTATGGAACAAGTTATGGGATTGAGGCCTACATCTAAAAACTGCACACTAATACTGTGCTAATATTACTATCTTATAATCTTTCACCTATCAAACATTTTCGAAGCCATTTGGATATTGCGTTATTTTGTACTCACAATCAGGAGGCATTTTTTCCGTAAACAGCTTGTAATATTCTTTTAGAAGTTCTAAGTTTTCCTGGTTAATGTTTTCCTGCAAAGTGGTATCTCCAAACCTGTAAAAAGGGACAGCAAAATGATGAAAAAAACCCCACAACCCAGAACCAAAACAAAGCTAAATTATCCTTCAGAATGATTTCTTTGCATTAAGAAATAACTAGTTTTTTTTTCCCCTAGTGTTGAATGCATTAGATTTTGTCAAATGTACAGTTGCTAATCTCTCACATGCTTTGGAACTAATATTTGGGAATGAGGTCATTGCTTATGGATAATTCTTCCAAAAATTTATGGACAAAGTAATCCGTTTACAGACAGACATTCAATAAAGCACATATTCTTCTTCCCTTCACAAATCCTGCATAAATGCAAGGGCTCTTTGTAGGAATTTCAAATGGCACCACAGGCAGAGAACACAAACTCCTACATCCTTTACTGCTGCTGTTGTTTATGTATATTAATTTCTACCAGAGCTGGGAAATATTGAAGCCACACAAGATGGAAGCGATGCAAGTGTCAAGTGTAAAACCTTCTTAAGATCTAATTTCTCCTCTAGTCTGAGAATATTTGCTATAAATAGTCGAATTGATTACTAGATTACTACTCTGGTCCCTTTCTGCCCTACGCTGCTCCTGAGCTGTTAGTTGTCTTTGTTTCTTGTATCTGAAACTAATGAGAGAACCATTTCTCTGCTGTTGATCAGTGATTTCACCAGTAAGCTTTGGAGAGTTGCAACCCGCAGGCTAGCTGACTTCAGCTGCCGGCATTTAAGCTTGCTGCAGCACACAGACGTCAGCGGTTGCTCCACAGGGCTGCAGCTGGCCCAGGAGTATGTTACGGGGTTTCTTGCAGCAGTTAAGTCTGCTGGGAACACATCACCAAAATCCTCATTATCCTGCACAGAAAACCCAGACAACATCAGGATGTCATTACGCTTATCCATGAACTGACTACAGCTATACGGGCAAATATCTTTCTCCCTGAGACGAAAATCTCTATAACAGCCAAGCTTCACATAGGCTAAAAAACCCCAAACCAAACTTCTCTCCTCTACTATAAGATATGAATGAATGTAAAGACAGGAATGTCCCTTAGGCATTTTGGGCCAACTTTTTGCAACTCATCTTTAGAATAGCCTTGAAATGAAGAAAAGGAAGACAGAAAAGGAAATGGAGGAGTACAGAGAAAGGCATGGACAGGTAAAGTGAGAAATTCAGGTAGACAAAAGGGGACACAAATCAGAAGATACTAAATATACTGCTACATCAATGCAGAAGGGAATCAAATATTTGAATGGGCCAAAGAAGGAAAAGACTTGGCTACTTCCTCAGTAGCTACTGCTGCACTGTCACATGGAAGTATTTCTTTTAAACCAAATATATTATCAATTGTGCTTTACTTAAAGAAGAGATGTTTGCATCTAATAAAGAAACATTTTCTGGAAATTTATCACAAAACTTTATTTCTATTCTCATATTCATTTTCCTACAAAAAAATACTTTTTACCAAAAATCATGTGCAGTGTTTCCAATCTCACAGACAAATGTGCAGCTTTAGGAGTTAAGGAATATCTGGAATTAAATCTAATGTTTACACCTTTAAGTGCATGTGCACAAGCTGTTTCTGCATGGAATAATCTTGATAGATATTAATATAGATATACTTATATTAATTTTTCATTCATGGCTGGCTTTGTGTACAATGTAAAATCACCACCATGAACAATGCTACCATTCTTCCTGCCACTCCACTTGCAAGCCAGAAATCTTTTCACATCGACTCCTCTACAAGTCCCCATCTATCCAGGCTATTTCTAAATCTCATCAAATCTTTCATCAGGACACTTGTAACATATAGTCCTTATGCCTATGCCACCCATGTAAGCTCTCACAAACTTGCTTCTTGGTTACTGCATACTCCTTTTCTCTGATTTTGGAAAAATGTGACATGTCCAGTCATAATTGTCATGACTGATTTGGTTCATTTTGTATGCTATCTCTTTGGCCATGTCACTCCTCTCATAGCATCACTTTTCCCTTCTTTATGGCATCAAGAATAAGCTATTTTTGTTTTCAAGAATGTTTGAAGTTCTCTAACCAACTACTCAATTCTTTCACTAGTGAAGTGACAGTTTTTACTGTCTTCTGATTCTGCCTATGTTTCCCATTTCAATTTGCTACTTTAATTTTCTTACATATCACCATTCAACTCTGATAATTCTCCCATAAATATCCACAAAGCTACCTGATGGCACTCCTTAGAAGACTCTCGTTACTCTGCTGTCTACAAAGAACAGGATGTGAAACTCCTGTTGTGCTTGACTTCTTGCCTATCATCCACGTTAACCTTTTTTACTGTCTACCTCTATTTCCCCAGCTACACTTTTGCTTTTGAGTTTGTAGTGACCGCAGTGTAAAGATACGTACTATGTCCCTTGGATGCTCTGTTAATAAAACCAGTAAAAAAAAAAAAAAAGTAGCTGTCTCATTGTTGATGATGCAGTTTTAGCATTGCACAAACTGTTAAACTTAATTTAACATCACCGACAGATACCCTTCTCTTGGAAGAGAAAATTAATAGGTTGGTGAAACTTTGACTATTATTGTACTAATTAATTGGTTTCCAGCAATCTTTTCAGAGGAATAATATTTAACAGATGAGCACTTTAGCATCAGTCTTCATGTTTCTACAAACATACTACTAATGCATTCCCTATTGTTAACTACTACTCCTCGACTCTGGAAAAAAGCCCTTATAAAGCTGAGAAAAATTATCTCTTTCTAGCTTATGACTTGTCCAGCATGTTCAACCCCACCTTTAACATGGTAATTGCACATTTTCAAACTCATGTTTGAGAAGGCCAAAGTACTGTATACAAACTTCTACATCCATGAAATAGAAATCCATTTCATATCTGTATCCAAAGGAAACTTGGTGTTGATTGTGTGAAATAAAGTCCTGCATACAGTCATATCTTCCCTTGGACTTTTTATTTACTTTGCATTGCTTCATAGCTTGTGCCTATTCCCTTTAATATTTTTTAAAATACTCACCAAGTCCAAGAGATGGTCCAATAGCAAGTAAAAAAAAAAGATTTATTTTTAATCCTGAGAGATACCCTGTACTAGCACAGCGTACTTGGACAGAAAATGAAACACAATTTTTTCTTACCTCTCTGCAAGTGTTTGCTGTTCATTGATTCCAACATTAAAGAGTACTGGATACATGCGAAGTAGCTTTCCTTCTTTAATCTCTTGTGGCAGCAACTCAAACATCTTTGCTGGAAGCTGGACCTCTATAACATAATGTTCACTACAAAAAATAAAAAGAAGAATAAGGATAAGAATATTGATTAGTTTGTTTGAAATTATAACCGTCCTATATTATAGAGAACACGTAGACTTGTAAACCAGTTCCCCCCTTTTCCCCTTAATTGTATTCAACCATAAAATATGACAATTCAGATAGCTTGTTTTAAGAGCATAACCAAGCTATACGGAAAAAGGCAGGTGTATATAATTGTACACTCTTGATACTGACTTCTTTACTGAAGTGAAAACAGGACTAAAGATGAAGGCAATAAGAAAAGTCTTCTGCTACCGAAAGATCAATGAGAACACCTCAACTCTTAAAATGCATCTTGCTGAGTTACAAAAACAACTTCGTTTCAGAAGTCACAACTTGATCCTGTATACACTCTAATTCTAATATGAGCAAAAAACCTTTCACAAGAACCCAAAGCAAAATTACCATTTTCTTCAGTGGCTGGATTTTATCCCTGGGGATAGAAAGCATCACCAATAACAAAATTGACTCTATGAAGATAATAATCGAAGGTTCATTACAGAAACATGAATCCTATTTTAGGAGAAAGGATATGATATATATCAGTTCTGCTTTTATGTTTGTGTTTGGTCTGACTTCATGAAAAACATGTTACTTTGGCTGGCAGTCCAAATTCTGATCATGTGGAACCCTCGAGTTGAATTTCACCCATCTCTGAGGATTGATGCCTGACCCCATAACAGACACAACAGCATGCTGTTAACTTAGTTTTTATTAGCTTTCTTTCCGTTATTAGAGAAATCAGTCTAATACAAAAAGAACAGACTAGAAGCAAACCCATTTTTCTCCAGGATTTGGCATTTTAATCAGAGGGCCAACTGATAAGAAAGACTGAAATTTTCTCCCCTGCAGAGCACATTTTATATACAACCACCAAGGAAGAGTATTACAGCAATAGGAGGGAAGGAGGATCTGTATCCTACCTACAGAAGCCAGGCCTAGGAAGTCACACAATTTTGGCGTGCAAACTTAGGTGGAAAACTGTTTGCATCTATTAAAATAACCTATCACGAAGTCCCTCCAACCCTTACTTTAATCAGTGATGTGCTTGCTAAAGAATTAAAATACAGCCTGAATTACCCACATGTAGAATTGGGGAGAGGAAAGGCAGAAAACCTTGAAGAAAAAGGGCAGTTTCTGCGGTAGCTCTGGCACCTTTGGCAAGTTGGAAGGATGAGTGGCACTATCTCAGGGCAGGTGTTTGGATAAACAGCTTCAGCTTAGAATAGCTCGTGGTCGTGTTTGAACGTCTATCCTGCCCATATATCTGAAGAACAAAATAAAACGGATCCAGTACAGACCTGTGACTGAATTGTAATTACCTTCATCTAGGGCCACAGCATATGCTTTGGTACCGGCTAGAACTAGTATGTAATCTTTGAGCGAATGCCAGATGCTCCTTACTGAGAGGGGTCACCAGTTTTGAATAGAGGATACCTGTCTCGAGGGGGGAGGAGAAAAAAAAAGAAATAGTTTTACTCCCCAGATAAGTCTATTTGGCTTGTGTTTTGTTTGATTAATTCACCCATGTGAAGGAAAGAGAGAGTTGGCAAGGATGACAGTGAAGAACTCCGTACAAATCATCTTTACATAGCAGCTTTCACCCTCAGCCTGCATGTGTGTGCTCCTAGCTGCTGTCAGGTGCTACCAGAGCATTCTTCTGTGATGGAGTCCTTTCATGAGGTTGAGAAGAAATGTTGGTTTAGTCTAACTCAAAGGGCATATGCTACTGAGCTAAAATGCCACCAAATCACGGCATCACTACATTTCACAGACCGCAATCACTACAGATCTTTCCGTGTGTGAAAGAACACTGAGAAATGCTAACTTTTAGGAGTGATAAATTAACATCAGTAGCATTTGAGAGTTTCCCCTTGTCCACTTTTTTTTTCTTTTACAAAACGTTTTTTTGAAGTCTCAGAGATAATCCTTGGTAAATTTTCAAAATCTGTAACCAATTACACAACCCATTTCTGATCACGTAAGGAAAAGGCTATCAAGCTGTGACAGAGAGCTGTCTAGAAAGCCCAAGAATGGTACGGAAGTCAGGTGGGGGAAAAAAAAAAAGAAAAATAATTCAAAGTACTGGAATCTGGAGGACTTGTTTGACATTAATTTACCAAAAATCTTACAGGTTGTATGCTTCTACTTAAACAAGAAACAGTAATAGAGCAGTAAATGTTATTGCCATGTGGTTTCTCTCTTTAATGGCTAGACTCAGTGAAGAGATACCAGGTGATTTTGGCATGAGATGGATAAGGCAGCTACTACATTTTCCAATGAGAAGGAAAAATCAGTACATAATTTTTAACATTTAATGATCTTTCAGGAAAACAAAGTGGAGAAATCCAGCATTTTTAAAAGAGTAAGTAATAAATCATTTTCTCTTTCAGAACGAATTGATTAAATGTAGGTATTAAATATTTAAATATCTATTATTTCACTAAAACAGGACTGCTTAAGAATATCCCTTTCTTTGACTTTATTTGCCTTCTTCAATAATATTTGTTATCATCACATACGATGACAGACAAACACTTGCAGTCCTGTTAGAAGGCTTCTGAAAATTAGCCCCATCCAGCTGTGGGCCCTGGACCCTGCAGCTACTTGCAGCTGGCTGAAATCACACGCTCTTAGTTCATTGCAAAAACACAAAACAAGTCATTTACATGCACCTTTGCTTCGCTTTGTAGCAGGAAGAAAATGCACACATGGTCAGTCACTGCATCTCAGCCGGGAGGTGCTTCAGCCAGCTCTTCTTTCAGCTAAGTGACAACTTTTTAGATCACTTCAATGTGGCTGCAAGTGCTAGTCTGATCGTGAGCTTCGTTGAAAACATGGTATCAAACCCTGTGATGCCTTGCAGTTTCACATGCACAATCAAAAACATTCTATCAAAGAACTTTATAAAAGTGAGCATTAACTACTTTCGCCTATAAGAAAAGATCCTGAGTGCCTGAACAGAGCTTTGCTTCACCTGGATGGTCAGAGTCAGCCACCCACATCAGCAGGTTGGCGCAACGCTCGTCAATGCCACGCTCTGTGGATTGATTTGATTGTGCACACTGAATCTCAGTCTTAAGCACTTCCCTAAAAAAACAATTACAAGTGAATACTCTGACTCGCAAGATAAGAATGTGTAGCTTAATTTTCTGTCCTGCATTTCTACAGTCTTTTAGTCTCATTTTATCGAGCCACATCATAAAGCAACCAATATGATCTAAAAATTGTGGGGTTTTTAAACATTAATTAGAAAATAACTATGTTTTCCACTGCCTTCTCTTTTTATGGTTGACTTCCAACACTGTCTGATAGGAGCTGTCTCATCACAGCTCTTATAGGAATGGGGGTCCTCCACATAAGCCTTGAAGATTTTTTTTTTTTTTTGTCTGATACCGATTCCATCCAGTGAATACCTGCCAGTAAGTACAGTACAGCAATCACAGGCAGTAACTCTTCCTAAAGACTAACTACTCCATCAATCCAGAATACCCGAGACAGCTTAAAGCTTGAGACTTTCAAACCTAGGACCTCCTAGCGTGACAGTTCAGTGTACCACAGTAACGGCAACAAGCCAGTAAATGTAGCTGCTGGATTTTTCAAGATTTTTGACTGCTGTGATTTACAAAGGATGTATTTCTTCCGTTTTATCTACACACCATAATTATTCTTAATTATTCCTGATGTGTTGCCTATCATACTCCAGCCTTCCTGATATTTATTTCAATCCTTTCTCGGAAGGCCCATAGGATAAGAGTGAATCATCCCGAATAATTAAGTAAATCAGAGGTGAAAGCTCCCTTCAGAGGAAACCTATCTTTTCTAAAAGTTGCTGCTTTCAGCTGGATTTAATTTACAGTCATCTTAAGAATAATGATACTATTACGGAAGTGATTTCTGCAAAAGTAAAAACATTTGAAGCTTCAGACCAGAATAATAATAAAGATGGAAAACCCATTCCTCCTGTGTAACAATCTTGTTAACCCTCTGATAGCCACAATTAATGAAGTATTTCAGTTTATGTCCTGATATTCAGCAGTGCTTATGTGAGACGCATAGTTTATTAGTGGCTTTATGCAAGGATTTCTGAGGGTCAGTATGCCCTGAGTGATCTTCAGCACCTAAGATAGGCTTCATTTTTCAAAAGTGACCACTAAGTTTTGGCATCTGAGTTTTTCAGTTTCCATCTTAAGACAATCAAGGCCTAACTCCTGGAAATGCAATTTCATTTGTCACTCTGAAATACAAGTTCTGGACACCTCAAAACCAAGGTTTCTTCAGTCAGAGGCCACTTTTGTAAATATTGACCTTGTCACTTCTCTTGATTCAGTATCTATATACGAAAATTGCAACAGTAACTCTGCACAACCCAGACACTATTTTGATTAATTTGTATTAATAATCGGAACTTTTAGCTTTTCGTCACGAAAATAACCCAGAGCCCACATTACTACTAGCTTTACAAATCCCTACTACCTCATGACATCTCCATTCACCTCATGAAAAGTAAAATTACTGCACTTCCCACGTAAGAGTATTCAGCAACAAGAAAACCATTATCTGTGTTTTCATGTGCTACAGATTAAAACAACATGCCATGGGCTCCAGGAAAGACAGTTCTTACCGCCTTCCAGTTATAATAGGCAAAAAATCTTCTGATTTGGCTTCAATGACTTTAAACATTACTTTCTGCAAATCTGAAATTCCCACAGCCATGTCTTCTAGCATCCCGGCTTCTTCACCTATATGGAAAGATTACAGAGGTTGTTAACAGAGTAGACAGATCAGTCACTGAATAGGTTGTAGTAAAGCAATATGGGGATTATATTTCTCAGTCTGTGCATCTAAAAAAAATCACAGCCCTAAATCCACATTAAAGTAACCTACATAAAAGCAGACTGATTTTTAGAACTGCTGACAACTCTCTGTGGCCTAAATGATAACTATGAGTATTAAGCACCTCTGAAAATCAGCCTGCTCTATATGTGCATAGAATAACCTCAGAAAAGCCATTTTTGCCTATTTTGAAAGTGTTTTTAAAGTCTGTCCTGCTGATGGAGGACAAAGGTTTTGAGAATAACAACGAATATCAGTGAAAAGGGAGCCTGACAGCAACCTCCAAGTGAGGAACTGCAATTGCCTGTGCATTAAAGAGCTACACAAATCCTCTGCTTTGGTCAAAATCTCTAATTTGGGGAAGGATTCCAATACATCTAGCTCAAAGTTTTTTGAAACATAAGGCAGTTTCTCCCTCCAAATGTCCTTTTTAATACCTATCAAATGATGGCCTCTGTAACAAGCTAGCAATTAAACAGTTTTCAAGCTATCTTAACATCATGAATACTGGCATGGTCAGGGCAGAGGCTGATAGAGTCAGTAACTGTTTAAATCTGTTGCTTGGATTTAGCTTTATAAACCTGATATTTTTGGTCAGGTCAAATGCCTATACAAATGGAGACAGTTTTTATTAAACCCAGAAGTTCCACTAGCTATACTGAGGAAGGAGTCTCCTGTATTTAAAGACAATGTAGGTCAGCACTCTGCATGGAATAATTAGCAACTAATGATCTCAGAAGAATTGAGAATAAAATAAATGAGTAATTTTTGATGCAGAATTGACAACACAGTATCAATTACTTCAACCATGCTATTATATGGAAGCCTGCTGTCTCCCAAGTATAGTATTTGTTGATTCAATAAGCCAAATTACTGAAAGCAGAACAGAGGTTAAAATAAGAACCTCGTTGGTAAACTTCTGGTCTGGATGCATAAGGAACTCTGTCCAAGAACAATACTTACTATACGTACTAAGGAGTCCTTCATATTGCACAAGCAATCCAACAGTATGAAGCTGTTGTAAAAATCCTTGATCATGTAAACCTGTGTGCAATTTGATTATAAACCCACAGACCAATCCAGCGAGCTATAAAGACAATGAAAAAATGTGAAATTAACAGATGTACTGTTATAACATAGTTAAAATGAAGCTTGCTATCATTATACACAACAGAATTAATATTTAGATATTTGACAAAACAGCATAGATATAACTACATACGTAATTTAATATTAATATATTATTGAGGCATTTTTTGGTGTAAAAAGCAGTTAAGTATTCCCTTATTTTACATTAGATAAGCTTCATTTGTTTTGTGGGGTTGTGTGTTGGGTACACTGACATAAGTGAGACTAGAACCTCCACTGGCAGGTTATGAACACATAAATCTGTGAATTATGATGGATTTGGAAGCAATGAGGCACCTAATGTAACAGGATCTCCTCGGCAGTTGCACCCTAACTCCTTAATTCTTAGAATTAAGAATTCTTAATTCTTAGAAAACTCCTTAACATGTTAGAAAAAAATATGTAACTTAAGGGAGAAATTAGATGAATCATTTAGAGGAAAATCTATCCGGAAACCATGATCTACAGGAGAAAATCAAAAGAACTTATTCAATATCTTTATAGATGATCTGGATGAGGGAATCGAGTGCTCCCTCAGTAAGTTTGCAGATGACACCGAGTTGGGTGGGAGTGTTGATCTGCTGGAGGGTAGGAGGGCTCTGCAGAGGGATCGGGACAGGCTGGATCGATGGGCAGAGGTCAACTGTATGAGGTTTAATACGGCCAAGTGCAGGGTCCCGCTCTTGGGTCACAACAACCCCATGCAACTCTAC